CTCTCTCTCTCTCTCTCTCATCACTAAAACACCAATCCAACGTTTTTCTAACTTTCTATTCTCAATCTCAGTGCTTGACCTAAACAATGTTTCAGGTTTCTATTACATAAATTATTCCCTTCAAAATCCTGGTGAGGCTCGCAGATATCTTTATTCAGCCATTGGGATGGCATCTAATGGTTGGTATAACAGACTCTACACCGTCACAGGACAGGTATGTCCATCCCCATTTTATGGTTGAGACCACATCGAAAAGAGTTTCTGTTATAACCCAACCAATATGGGGAGCTCAAATTATTAAAGTTATTATGACCACTGTTTATTCATTGCCTTCCTGCTTTCTTGTAGTTTATGGAAGACAACGCCAACAAGTACGGGTCCCAAATTCAAAAGGTGAACGCATATTTACTCTCCCCCCCCCCCCAACACACACACACACACACACACACACACACAGAGTAATGTCCGAGCCTAGTGATTTGGATGCCGGATAATTGGTGCAAGTGGCTTTTGGTTTTACGTACTGAAATCCAATCACCACTTGGTTCTTGCAGGCGGTCGCATCATTTCGGTTCGTATGAATTCATGGTTAGGATGGGAGATGCTGTATATGGATTCCATCGACTACCATCCCTGTTATCTTTTTCCCCTCCATCACTTGTTAATTTGATTCTATTTTCAGTTTGTGCGAATGGAGAAATTGAAAACTGTATCAGAAGGCAACATATAACAATAAGAATACTCTACTGCCGTCTGGCCCTTCGGGGCTGTTTAATTGAATCTGAAAAATATTTTTACATAGATTAAAATTCCTCATATATTTATTTCATATTTTATAAAATGATTTTTAAAACCATAATTTGGTTTCAATTCAAATACCTTTTTAATTGCTTTGTATGTTACATTTTTACTAGATTTGGTTCACAAGCGTAAGAAATACCAGCACAATTATTATCCAATGAAATATACTATATATAATCTCAGCAAAAAGGGAATATTCCCTTGCAAAATTATGAAATTGAACTTCATTCAAATCTTGGGAACTTTCTGACTAATGCAAAATGCACTCATTAAACCTGCCTAGTTTTGGTTGGAAAAATGCCAAACTATAAAACACACGTACAGACGCACATGACGCGCGCGCGTGTGGATTGCAGCATGTCGCCAAAGTTTTCAGCATTTCCAAATCTCATCTCAGAAACTTCGAACTATGGGTGTGTTTGGATGAAATCAAACCGTGATTTAGAAAAGTGATTTCGAAAAAAGATTCTGGAAAGAATAGATTTTATGAAAAAGTGATTTTGAGAAGTGAGAGTGTTTAGATAGTTGTTATTAGAAGCACTTTTTATATATACAAATTACTAAAAAAAAGACAAAAGTTAATATGATAATTACAGAAAAAAATAGATTTTATGATACATTTTAATTTGAAGGAATAAAATTGTTAATAATATATTTTTTATTAACATAATTAATAATACATAAGATAATATAATTAATAAATAATTAATATGTATATATATTTATAAAATATAAGATTAAATATGTTTATAAAAAAAAACAAGATACATATCCTATAGGCTCTCACACTCTCCCTTTTTTCTCTAAAAGCAAAAAAATTTTGTTTTTTCCAAAACCATGGTTTGTGCAAATTGGGTGGGTATTTGGGTGACTTATCACTCAAACCATGGTTTGGGTCCCCAAACCATGGTTTGGAGTGTCATCCAAACGGTGCCTATATCGCGTGCCTGGGATTTTGCATTGGTGCAGGCATAGCAATTGAAGCAGAACAACAAGAAGATAATGACTGAGCCACAAAATCCAAAGGCGGTAACAAAGTACTCCTCCGGTCCTAATTATATGACCCAATTGACTTGTTTGAGGAGATTAAGGAAGTAAGTTAAATTGGTTATTTATAATAAATAAGTGTTGTCATTCCTAAAATATCCTTGCTAATTAAGTATATTGGCTAAAACTATCATTATTAGAAGGATTATCTTGGAAAAAAATGCATAAATATAAGAGACAAAATGAATTGGGTCTTATAATTAGAACCAAATAAAAAGTCAAATTGGGTCTTATAATAAGGACAGGAGGAGTATATATTAATAACAAGTTTACATACAAAGCTGCAAATTCAAGTCAACTAAAGGCTTGTTATTAAACACCATGAGGCAGTCCAGCGTTCGGGAACCCACCTGCAAGAGTCGTATGCTTGTAAGCAATTTGAAGCGGAGAAATTTTGTTTTTGTTTTTGTTTTTGTTTTTTTTCCTGATCTCAAGTTTTTAGGGAAAAAAATTCATACACAAACAACATCAACACGTTCACATACCTCAACATTCTCCATAATCTCATTCCCATTACAAAAAGAATCACATAAGTTAGGTATATGCATAAAATATTCAGTGTTAGCCTCATAGTCTCAGGCTACACTCGTACAGAATTAAATCGTCAGGCTAAAAATCTAATCTTTAGCTAAAATTAGAGCATACATTCTGTTATTCATCATCCTTGCCTATCCGTAAAAAGAATTATGTTTGTTGACCCCAAAATTCGAAACACATGAATAATAATCACTAATCATCGCCAACAAATCGGATAACTCTACAAAGAAGAAGATTTCTTTTTTCTTTTTTTTTTGGGTTTAGGTCACATAGGTTTGAACCCTATACCTCTCTACTCACACCCACCTACCTCACCCCTGCGTACCTTCGTTTTCGAACAAGCAAGAACTCCTGAAAATGAAAGAGAAGATAAATTGATGCACGGTAAAAGATTCTACTTTCCCCTTTCTCCAATGGCAGACAATTAAAAACATAATCCAAATCCTCCCGGAGACATACCAAAGATTTTCCAATGTGTAGAATTTTGTAAGGCAATCACCACTACAATTAGAAAAAGGGGCGAAACTGACAGCCAAGTTGAAAAGCCTTGTCATATGAATTCTCAATCTACGTTAAAAATAAAACAAGGCATAGATGATGCTCAAATCCTCAGTTAGCCTAATCAAAGAAGAGCCAAAAGAGATTAATTGCATTTCAAAAATCCGGCATCAACGAAAGCAAACCAACAATCTGGCTACCCCAGGAAAATAGAATCCCGATGCATACCATCATTTTCATATTCATATCAACACGCACCTTATTTCATTATAAAAAAAGATTATCTCAACAAAAATAATTACAATTACAAAACATCTTTGCACAGCGATTAATTAATCCAAAGGAAAGCAAACACACGTGCTCATACCACAATTTGATTGATGAGATTTTGATTCAAACACACCTGAGAAAAGCGGCAAGGTGCGAATCTCACGTCAGTGAGAAGCATGAGAAGAAGAAGAGGAAGAGTGAGAGTGGTGAGAGGAAGGAGAATTCATCCTATTGTAGATTTGTTCGCCGACGAGGTAAATGCCGAAGGCCACGAGGGCGATTCCAAGTCCAGGGGTGGCATGTCGGAGCTGATTCGAAAGCATCGGGTGCTTCCTCCACTCGTCTCTTCTCCTGAAAAATTCTCCGGTATGTCCCCTCGCCATTGTTCGCTGTTATGGCCTCACTGCTTCTCGTTCTCGCGGTCGTGGTCTTCTCCGGACGGCACTTTCATTTCAGATCATTCCCTCTTTCTGTTTGGTTGAATCGGGCTTTCCGCTGGGCTAGGCCCAAACTTGGCCTCTGTTATTGGGCTGATTAAATTATTGTCCAATGTTAAGCGTTTACGTTTTTTTTTAATTAAAAAAAGTGCAAAAAATAACAAGATATTTAGCAAGTTTTAAGGTTCCTGATTTGAGGGTTTTTTTGCCCTGGCAAGTTTTAAGGTTTTAGGATGCTCGGCTATGCTTGATAATAGAAATCAAGATATTTAGCAAATCCATTATTTTGTGCATCCTAGATAAGACCTCCACAAGTAACTGCTACATTTACATTTACATAATTCACGGCGTCTTACTTGTAAAGAGAGCTTGTATGTCACTGAATTATGAAATTGTTGGCTGTTTTTGAACCCCATGCACTTCCCCATTCAAATGTTCAACTTTGTATTATTATGTGTTATACTTTCAGCAGCCGAAATTTATACAAGTTTTTTTGTATATTTCATTTCACTACGAGGGTGTTAAAATCAAGGCTACGTCCCTAAGTCCCCATGGTAATAGACCATGTGGCATGAAACAATTTCAGATGTCATAGATACTACTTTCGATTGTTAATATAATGGTTAATTTGATATTCAATTTAACCTTAAATATAAAACCTCAATTTAGTTTGTTTCTCATATTCATTTATTTTTTTAAAATAATCTTTATAGTAATTATATGTATAAATATTTCATCAAATGATAATTCTAACTAATACATATAATTATGAAGGATAACAAATGTTTTTAATCTATCAGCTCTTATATTTAAAAAAAAGACGTAATAATACTAGTGGAAAGATGTGACCTAGAAAATTTCCCATCCACAAAATTTGCTTTTGTCAAGTCAATATGCACTTTTTTTCTTCTCAGCACGTTGATGTTTTTGTCGATTTCCATTATTGCATGTTACGTTACGTCCCAAAGCATCCACGATGCTGCCTATTTTTGACATATTTCAATTCTTAATTTACTAGAATCATTTTGGTTATATGACTCGGGGAATTTTGATTCTCTAATGGTCAACCTTTTCTTAGACGCCTGATTTTCAATATGAAAAAGCTTATACTACTTCTGATCTAAATATAAGATTCATTTCATAACATAATTTATATTGGATTTTATATTCAAAACCGGAAGTAACACCATTTTCTTTCATATTTGACTTTTGTGTCATCAGGGTCTTTAAATATGAGGCATCTATAATTTTTAATGATATAATGATAAGTATATATTTTTAAATATAAATATGTGATTGTCTAACATTTAAATAAATCATACATATATCATATTTCAATCCAAAATTTAAAAGAATAGAATATAACTTTTTTCCGAAGTAACCAAGTAAAATAAACAAAACAAGGAATAATTTTGAAGAAAGGAAACTCAAGGCTTTTAATGTCCCTCATTATGAATTTCTTAGATAAATTATGAATCAGAAGGAACAAGGGAACAAAGGTACCGAACCACATAACATTTACATTTCCCACTCACATTCTCGAAGAATCGTTCAAATGAAGAAAAAGGCATACGAAAAATTTCTGAAGATTTATCTCAATAACTAATAACTAATGCTTGATGAATCAACTTACTTACCTTTTGACCTCCCTTTTCATTGACTTACCACAGTCACTAAATAATGTAAAATGTCCAACTTTTTGTGTTCTAACCTGCTCACAAAAGAATTTGAAGAGGTTTGTTCAGAACTAAACAAAAACATGTCATATAAATTATTGGATAGACTGCTCACAATCAATAAACTGAATTTGTCATGCACATTCATATATATAAAGTAAATATTATGTCAAAAGTGAGTTCACCCATTAGAAAAAGAAAGAAAGAAAAACCAATTCCTCCCAAAGGACAATAGTTACTATTGGCAAAGTTTCTAAATTAAAAAAAAAATAGACAAACATCTTCAAAATTATATCTAAGTTTCTTATAAATTATGTCATAAAGCACCAAAACTTTTTGTACCCCAAAAAAAATATCTAAATTTTGTCCTTGGATTTCAGCTTTCTATCATAAAAGAAAACGTTCTAGGGATGGTGGAAGCCACAAGCTTAGCTCCAGCAAAGAAGCCCTAAAAGAACATCAAGAAGCTACCTTTACCCTTCTTCGCTTGCAGTTATTCCAACATAGAAGTCCCACGCAACCTGCGGCCCCGGAGCCTGACTCATATCCCCTACAGAAAATAAAGCAGTAAGCAGAATATACCAAATAATCTCTCGTTTCCAAGATTAAAGACATTAACATTCATAATATTTGACAAACTCTTTATATCACTAAAACACTGTAGTAAGCTAGAGGTTGGAAGAGTTGCAAGAAGATCGTACAATATCTCCGACACATTCCAATGTGAAGAAGTCGTTACATGAACCATGTGTGAACCCAGATGCAAGAAAATTACGTCAAACCACTGAACTAGGTTATACTACTTGCAGTCCTTACTATAAGCATATAACAACTTTACATAAATTAATTAAAAGTAGTTATTTCTTATAAAATATCAAAACTACAGTCCATAAAGTTATTAATTAGTGGAGTTTGGTTAATCATAGGTGGAACAAGATTAATGCTTTGGGCAAAACATGTTATGAAACATGTAGGAAGGGCGTAATTTACAAGAGTTCCTTTCTTCTATATGATTACAATAGAAAAAGTGAATTGTGATTACCCAGCTGATGTAAAATAATAAATACCTTATTATCAAGCTTAAACAGAGGTTTGAAAGTTTTATTTATATTACTTTTCAAAAGCACAAAATCTAGGATTTCTTGGATTTTTATTTTGCCGCCTCACAGAGCACAAGTTTAAATAAAAAACCTCCTAAAACTAACCAACTTTCACTGCTAGGCCACAAGTAGTGGCTTACAAAGATTATTTCTAACATATAAAATGAAATCCTTGGAACAAGAGCATAAATTTCTAGTGTAAAAGATGAACATATTGAAAAATCGAAGAAATTAAGGACTTACAGATTATCTTTGTTGGAATTTGATGCTAAACTGCTACCGTGCAATAAACTTGGGGACATGGGACATCGGGCTCCGTTTCTACTAATCTGACCATTTTGTATGATTCTTCCGTGTTTAACTTTCAAAACTTTGACTTCATGATGAGGGTCATCTTCCCAACGCTGAGTGGAAAACCTTGTTGAATCAATGGACTCTACTGGGTCTTTACAGATAACATTTTCCTGAGGCAGTACCTGATTCTTCTCAGGTCTTGGATGATTCAAAAATCCTGGAGAACCTTTTTCTACAGCCTGAAGCCACGCAGTTTCCAGCCTCTGCTCACGTATAATAGATTCAACTCTGTGGGTGGGAATTTCCTGTTTATCCTCTCTCACACAGTTCCTCCCAGCCGTCAAATCTGATGAATCAATGACAGGCTGCAAGTTTTCATCCAGCAAAGGAAGAAAACTAGAATGACTACCCTTTTCATTTGCATGGTCTCCTTTTTTTGGTCTCTCACTTCCCATTGTTGATCCTGCCTGCATGATACCAGGTAGATTTTCACCTCCACCATCTGGCAAATGAATAATTCTAACCTCCACATTGCACCTGAGTACCATTTCCATTGAATTTGTAATACTACTCAAAAACCTTTCAGCCCTAATTTTAACATCTCTATCTCTGAATGCAACATATGCAACCAGAACACCTACAAGAAGAATGATATTAACTGATAGATATATGAAGAAATTGGAATAAAATGATAAAAAGTAGTAGCAAATTGAAAAACAGAAAGAAAGAAGATCTGCACTAGATGTATCACAAAATTATAATTTCATTTAGTCAGCACAAGAGCATTCCATTAGCTGACAACCAATGGGTGCCATCCATAATAACGTGTAGTTGAATGTTGAGCTACAGGCTGTTGTAGAGTTTGAATTAATACCACGGTTACGACAATCATCTGGTATCTAGTTGCACAAGGGTGACAGCTAACTAATAATGTGTGTTAAGAGTTGCGCCTACGTAGTAAATACATTTTTAACAACCAAATATCTAGTTGTGCTGAAAAGCCTTGTCAGCTTACCTTCAACTTCACAAATAGATACAAGATTTCCATGATTGTGGAGAAGCTGCCTCAACGTCTTAGAGTGACACCTCCCTATACAACTTGCCCAGATATCAAGTAACTTCCCTGAATTTACACATCTTACCATCATATTCCCAGTAATAAGATCATCAGATGAAGCCGGCGTTGCATCATCATCTCCTAGAACTGGACTACTTGATGGCTGTGAACTCAAGCTGAAACCATCTGACTTAGACGATACATCCCATTGACCTCTAGAATCGCCATTCAAAGGTTGTTGCTGGGAAATAGGGGATGTTGACATTCGAGAAATATATCTAACATCCGATCTATGCTTTGGAGCAGTAACTTCTCTTGAAGCACTTGATGGATCATATTCGGAAGTCTTGCCGCTCTGCCTCCTTCCAGTGCCTGACTGGGTAAGATCTGGTGAAGGCATTGAACCAAGCTGTAGCAGGGTAGCTGTGAACCATGTTGAGCGTTCACTAGAAGTCCTTAACTGTTTCTCAGCCTCTGAGAGCAGCTTCAAAGCATGCTTTAACCTCCCCAACTCCGATTCATTCACTAATCATGAAACCCAAGCATGCATGTCAATAATTAATCAAGTAAAGTCCCCCATGAATATAATACATAAAGACAACCAAATCCTAGAGGGATGCAAAGCACCCCTAAAACGAGAACAAGGAACTAAAAATACCAAGAACCAAGATCCCTTTCTCCAAATATGCAACCCTAAGGTCACAAGAGAAGAATCGAGAGGAAGTAGACTTGGATAACTTTGTGAAAATATTCACTCAACCACATAACCCTTCTTTTCCTTATATTTTCAATCATGTAAAAAGAAAAAAATTACAGCTGACAATTGTGAAGTTTCATCAAACAGAAAGTAAGAGAAAACCATTAAGATATACAAATGAGAATGTGGGTATGCATTACTCAGTCTAGAGAATAAATCAGTAAAATAGAACACTAATGGTAACCAGAGAAAAAAGAAGCCAGAAGCATCACACCATAGTAGACTACCGATGGTATATTTACCAGGGCAACACCTACATTAAAGAAGCTCGTGAGTCATAGTTTAAAAGTGCCAAAAGGCAACATTATAAATACCAAAATTAAGACAACGAAAGAGGGTAAAAATAATTTCAAGATCTTAAAAGAGATTGCACTCACAACTTCGTCCACCAAAATACGAATCACTAGGTTTGGCATCAATGACACTATATGATCCGGCAATGATGTCCATAATGAGGCATGCCATTTGTGATATCAAAATCATCGGATCAGCCACAAAATCCATCACTTCTCTGGCTCTCTTCACTGTTTCTGAGGTATCTGATGACATTGCTATCTCCAACAGCTCTAGTAGTTTTTCATCCGAGACAACACCCACCTGTTGCAGAAAATAAATGACAGCATTAAGTTCGAATGATGTGCTCAAAACAAAATGTCACTAAAACTGAAACGCTTCAGTTTTTCAGATTATGTCCTAAGATGATAGTCACAAAAAACTCACAAGTTCATTGACAAGTGAAGCAGTAATTCTTTTCCCCAGCAAACTCAGTTGTTCTAACATAGTTTCTGCATCTTGAAGCGAACCATCCGCATTCATAGCAATAAGGTCCAGCGCATCTTTTTCAACATCCAGGTTCTCTTCAGCAGATAGTGTCCTTAATCTGGCCACAATATCACCATCTTTAATTTTGTTAAAAAGGTACTTCTGGCATCGAGACTGTATTGTCCGTGGAACATTCTCAAGATCAGTTGTTATAAATATGAACACAACTCGACTAGGTGGTTCTTCCAGAAACTTCAGAAATGCCAGCCATGTCTTAGAAGGAAGCAAGTGACACTCATCTATTACAAATACAGCGTATTGTGAGGAGGCTGATGGTGATCCTGCCGGTAGTCTTTTCAGTAGATGTCTAACACTATCAATCCCTTGCTTATTGGTTCCATCAACTTCCAAGAAATTCCTACTCTTTCCAGAATTGAGATCAGTGCAATTCCTGCAGTATCCACAAGGCTTACTTAAATCAGGAGCCTTACAATTAAGAGCAGCTGCAAAAATTCTGGCTGTTGAAGTTTTACCAGTGCCACGTGGACCTTGGAAAAGATAAATGGGCGCAATTCTATCCCTTGAAATAGCATTCATAAGTGACTGAGCCACAATGTTCTGGCCAATCAAGTCATCAAAGGAAATAGGTTTATACTTCTGACTGAAACTAGTAGCATTTTCTAGTGTGCCTTCCTCATCCCCTTCCCCCTCCACAGCCACAATCTCCAAAACATCTTGACTCCTACAACTTGATGACCATCTCCTTCCATCTAACCTGCTTAAACCCTCAAGATAAAGTTCCCCTAAGTTCGTGGAAAGTTCATCATCGCTCCTTCCAGTTCCTACAGACGAGCCTCCTCTAACATCACCACTGCTGGTGAGCAGTGGAAGAACACCATGAGCGCTCCTTGAAGAAACTCTCCACTTGTTAGGGCTTGATGATAAGGACCTCCGGTGTCTTGTATAGATACTTTGACTTCCACAAAATAAGCTACTTCCTTTCCTCCTCAAAGTCTCTGAAAGAGAAGGAGAATAACAACTCCTACACATCCCTCTATTTTTTGGAGTCCTCTTGGACCAATAACAAGGAATCCCGCATCCCCTCTGGCCAGGCAAATCCAAGTGATCGTCTACCTCATCATCACCATAATTCAATGAGCTTGTCGTGGCATCCCAGGATCCAACAGTACTTGAATTATAGTGACCAAACCTATTATAAGAGCAGGTTGATAACGCAGGCGTGCTATAAGTATAAGAAGAGTCCTCAGTTCGGCTACCTCTCAGTAACTTTGAGGAAGAACGAGACCAATTCTTACGCTTGAGTTTCAACAGCAAACGAGACGACCCTAAAATTCGCCTTAAATCCTCAGAATTGTAGTAATCCTCAGTATCATCAGACTGTTCAATTGAGTCCTCTAGAAATGTCTTGGAATTTACAAACTTCCTACCCAAATTGGTTGCTGGTTTCCGGTATTTTGACAAGTTATCCGAATATGTGTTAGTTTTCTTACTCTTTCTCTTGATACTGCCCATTTTTCTTCTGGCCGAAGAAAAATTATTAGCGTCTTTACACCGGAAAATAGAAGAACGTCTCCCATCTCGCAAGTAAGTGTTGCTCTTCGAATCACAACCTCGAGCATCACTCAAGGAATCCTCGAAACTTCCCAGAAGCGATGAAGAAGAACCGTCGTTGGCGCCGCCAGCAGCAGCAACCTCATCATCACCATCATCTTCTTCTTCCTCTACGAAGTCGTTTTTGGCCACTCCACTCTTGTCGCCTGACGATTTGTGATTCTCCCAGTTGCACAACAACCCGCTATTCTCTTTTCCACTGTACAAATTGTTCTTCCATGCAGAAGCGGAAGCAGCAGCAACGGATCTCGATGAACTAAGAGGTGACTTCCAGGACGACGTCGTACCAGGATCCCTCAAGACACGAGCAGCTTTATGAATTTGAGCGAGGTCCTTCTTCTTGAGATGAAGCTTGCTAGGATCAGAAACCCGCCTTTCAGACATAATTTTTAGCAACTTCGAACCTTCAAACTCAAACCAATGCCTCAGAATCAAAGAGAAGCAAGACTGAATTCCATGTATTTACAGAACAAAAAATACAAATTTTCACACTTGGAATCAACGACCAGAGGAAAAAGTGTAAAGCTGCAGAAATGATGAAAGAATGGAAGGTGGCGGAACAGCAAATGAGTTATAGGAACTTGTGAGAGCAGATCCGTGAGGAGTTGCTAAAGCTGTGTCTGTGCCTGTCTCTATGTCTTTGTCTGTTTCTTAGGGTTCTTCTACTTGGCGCCCCAATTCAATTCTTGAAATCCTTGACACTGTTGTGACTGTGACTGGGGCGCAGAGAGAGAGAGAGAGGGAGATTCTCTGGTAGTCTTCTGATTTTGGGTGATGAACTCGTTCAAAGTACATACATGGAAAAGGAAATAATAAAGCAAGGGGAAAATTACTTTGAAGATCTGAGAATCAAAAATATTTATGTTACTTTTTCAAAAAAGATATATCATTGAGATTTGAGATATCAATTCAATAATTTTGAAAATGACATTCTGTTTAACAAGAGTTAAATTTTATAAATCTTTACTGAACAAAATGAGAGCCTTGTGTACAGGATTTGCAAATAATTGAAAATGACATGAGAATGTCTTGATTACGCTTCTTAATTTTTTTTTTTTTTTGCCAACTTCTTAATATCTCTCTTAAGACCTTAAAAATCTATATTCCTTTCTATCTTAAATATAAGAATTTGATAATTAATTTATGAGTATCAATAAAATTAAGTAAGTTAGTTTTTTTTAAATAAATGTATATTAATTTTCTAAAATTTTTAATCACTTGTATTGAAAATTATAAATCATGAATAAAAATTAATTTAATAGCTCAATTAATATAATTGTTCAGAAAAAAATTATAAATTTATGAGAAAAAGTAAATAGAATTTGTGTATTTAGGATCAAAATACACTAGCTATTGAATTTAGAATGAGATGGAGCATTTTAATTAACCTTATGTATAAGTAGTTTGGGTTTTGAAGCTTGTTTTAAATAAAAATAAATGTGATTTTTTTTAATTTCTTCAATTTGACAAAATTATTTAAAAACCGCTTGGGGGCATTACGTGTTATTTAAAGAGGATTTCATGTTCTCGTAAGCTCCAACTTTTGACTTTCTTGCGTGTGTCAGTACGCTCTTCTTGCATTGTTGCATGTGCTTGCCTTTTTAATTTGAATTCTGTCGATATTAAAATTTTTTTAAAAATGTGTTTGAATAAATACAAAACTATAGATTTAAAAATATTTTTACAGTATACGAAATAAATATATAAAATAATTTATCTCAATTTAAGAAAAATGTTTTTCTAAAATACTTTTGGAGCTAAGCAAACACCCTCTATATATTTTTTAAATACAGGTAACTTTTTATTATAATCAGTTTTATTTAAAACACAGTTAGAAACTAAATATAAACAATTTTCTCAGTAAAAATTTAAATTTTAATTCCTCATGTTATAAAATACAATCTCCTTTTATTAGATTTAATCTTTTTGGTCATTTTTCATGTTCTTGTTCCAAGTTCTATCTTTGAAAAAGTTGGTCGTTGAAAATAAAGGCCCACCTAGTGGCGCTGGAGCAGGAAATTATTAAAATTATGTCAGGTGTATTATAAAAACAAATATACATTGCAGTGTATTTTTAAATTAAAAAAACAATATAATATTCAAACTTACTTTAAATTACTGTCTCAAAACAAACAACAAATTTATTCATGTTCCAGAAAATAAAACAGGGGAATTATCATAATTTTCCCCACTAAGTTTGTATTATCTTCATGTGTATATATAATATAAACAAATTAATAAATTACGTTGTTTATAACACATAAATAATATGATGTACTATTTTAATTCTTAGAAGGATTATATAGCTTTTAAAAAAAAAAAAAGAAGGATTATACAGCTTACATATTAGGCCTTATGCCGATACAATTAGGCGTAACAGTGATTATGACAAGTTGGGAGTATAGTTTTCAGGGAAAATGAAAAATAAAGAAGGCTGGATGTATGATATCTCAATTTAGGAAGCTAAGGATTTTCAAAGACAGAGAGAAAAATTCTTCTCAAATTAAAAATTTTAAATTCAGCAAAATAACAAAAATGCTTTTTATCTTTTTTTTTTTCAAAAAAAGGCTCAGTCCTCACTGGTGGCCAGCCACCTCCATCGGGCACTAGCACTGGCTACCAACGCGGTGGCTACCAATAGATTTTTTTTTTTGCCATTTATGAATATTGCAAGAAAGTGGTGGGGTGGGATTTAATCCCACTACCCCTTGATCGTTTGGGCCAACAAAAAAAATTAGACTATCAAATATTTGTTAATTTTATAATGCAAACAAAAAGATAAATTAACTCTTTTACTATGACTTCAGCCCGTGACAACAATTTATCTGGGAATGACAAATCTTAATTAAAAAATAACAAGTCTAAATTTAATATTAACAAAGCAACTCTTCCTAATACATAACAAGAAATAGCATGTACATTAATTAAAAATGACAACAATTTATTTGGGAATGACAAGTCTTGATTGAAAAATGACAAGTCTAAACTTGATATTAATAATGTGTTTTTTCCTGATACATAATAGAAAATAGCAAGTGCATTAATTAAAAATGACAACAATTTATTTGAGAATGACAAGTCTTAATTGTAAAATAACAAATTTTGACTATAACAAGACTAGCTATGCTTGTCACACACATAAATAGGATTTTTAATATTTATATCTAAATGACTATGAGGGAAAGGACGTATTAAAATAAAGTCAGATATAGTCTTTTGTAGATAATTAAATAAATTTGACACACACAAATCATTTAGGAAAGAAAAAAGAAATAGCACAGATTCAAAACAAAAACTATAATCAAGCAATCAAGACTTGTTATTTCCTAATTAAGACATGTTATTCCTAAATAAATTGTCATCATTTTTAATTAATGCACCTGTTATTTCCTGTTATATATCAGAAAAAGACACATTGTTAATCTGAAATTTAGACTTATTATTTTCCAATAAAGACATGTCATTTCCAAATAAATTATTGTCATTTTTAATTAATGTACTTGTTATTTCTTGTTATATATATCAAGAAAAGTTGCTTTGTTAATATCAAATTTAGACTTGTTATTTCTCAATTAAGACTTATTATCTCCAGATAAATTGTTGTCATGAGTTGGAGTCACAGTAAAAAGGTCAATTTATATTTTTGTTTGCATTATAAGATTAACAAATCTTTGGTGGCCTAAATGACCAACAGGTATTAGGATCAAATCTCACTCTCACCACTTTCTTTCAATATTCTCACATGGCCAAAAAAAATTTGTGACAAAAAAAATCCACTAGCAACCACCACCCTGGTGGCTTGTAGTGGTGGTCGCCTGCCAGTAGCCAGTTGTCAGTGGTGGCAAGCCAACGGCGAGGGTTGAGTCTTTTTTAAAAAAAAAAAAAAGACAAAAGATATTTTTGTCATTTTACTGAATTTCAAAATTTCAATTTGGAATGAATTTCCTTATCTGCCCTTGAAAATCCTTAGCTTCTCAAATTGGGATGTTATATATTCAGTTCTTTTTTTTATTTGTCATTCTCTCTAGTTTTTAATTGCTTTTCAATATTGGGGAGTGATATTTTGAAGCTTTTTATGATTGTGCCTTTCAAAATTAGGTACGTGAACACCCACTTTCATCTTGACTAGTAACCACCCTGTTTTTCTTTTTCAGGCAAAAAAAGAAAAGGAAAAAAAAAAAACCACCCTGTTTTTCTTTTTCAGGCAAAAAAAAGAAAAGGAAAAAAAAAAACCACCCTGTTTTTTTTATGGGTTTACGATGGCTTTGTGTTGAAGCTATGGGCCAAAAGTCGTGTGGATATCCAAAAATTTTTAGCTATTAAAAAAATTAATAGTAAGCGTTAGTTTTTTAAATGAATAGGGTGACGTTGCTTCTTCTTTTTCTTTAATATTTTTAAGGCAACAATAATAACAATAAATCCTAGTCCACTATGTGGACTTGGATCGAATAATACACATTATCAACAATCAAATTCTTAAATACTACCTCTAGTCCTTAATATATGATATTGTTTGACTTTTGTTTTGATTATAAATATAAAATCCTAATACACTTTGTCTCTTATATTTATGTATTTTTTCTCAATATAGTTATTTTAACAATGATAATTCTAACTAATATACTTGATTAACAAGGATATTTTAGAAAAAAAACAATACCTATTTATTGCAAATAACTAATTTAACTTCTTTCTTTAATCTTCTCAAATTAGTCAATTAGTTCTTATAATTAGGACCGGAGGTAGTAAGTTGTTATAAATCACGTTGTTTTCCTCTGCTTCTTTTTTTGGATAACTCCATACTATTTGATTCATCATCTTTATTAGTGTCTCTAATGACCTTCTTGGTACATACCCATGCCACCTTAACTGGTTTTCAAGTATTTTCTCTTTAATAGGCATTGAGACCAAAAAAAATCCCAATACATACAGCTTTTCCGTGAATACTTGGTGAAAACTGCTCTTAACCCACTTTTTTTATTCAAGCCTTACATATAGAGTAATTATTAATTTGTTCATTTCCAACATTTTATGAATTAAAAATATCATGAATTACAGTGAGAATGCGGGATTAATAAGGATAAAAAGAAATATAATACTCCTCCGGTCCTTATTATAAGACCCAATTTGACTTTTTATTTGGTCCTAATTATAAGACCCAATCCATTTTCTCTCTTATATTTATATATTTTTTTCCAAGATAATCCTTCTAATAATGATAGTTTTAGTCAATATACTTAATTAGCAAGGATATTTTAGGAATAACAACACTTATTTATTATAAATAACCAACTTAATTTACTTCCTTAATCTCCTCAAATAAGTTAATTGGGTCTTATAATTAGGACCGGAGGAGTATTAAGCTAAATCAGATAAGTTAAATTAGTGACTTTCTAAGGTATTATTACATCCAAGTATGGTGATTATTATGAGCACCGTTCCACAATTACGTGAGAGGATCATGTTCTGCCCAATGATGCGTTTTTCTTTTCGGGACCGCCTTTTCGATAAGGTGAAATGCTGTAGCAAACTCCGTTTCATTTCACGCTGGGAAACATGATTTGAGGGTTTTTTTTTTTTAAATATTATCTCCCATCTCCAATATTATCCCGGTCCTAATTATAAGATCTTATTTGTCGTTTATAAACAAAGTTTTATAATCAGGACAGGAGGTAATACTATAAAAGCTAGGTAAAAGTTCTAAATATATTA